TAAAACTTCATACATACATCTATACAGTAAAACTGGCATAAGTCGTCATTGTCTAACTTAAAGGGACAGTAGCCTCTAGGATTTTACTGCATACAACTGTACTTACTGTATAACAAATCGTCTATACCCACACGTATTTGTTACCAGATACCTAATTTAATTGTTATAATTAATTACACATCAACGCTACGAAATTTGAACGGCGCCATAACACCCGCGACCGTGCTGCCACCCCGAAAAAGTTGCGTATTTGACAATTTATTTTACACGTTACTGACCGAGGGCTAATCACAAAAGTGCAATTATATTTATACCTAAATGCTATTTAACCGAACGATATTCATTTTAGGGCAAATTTATCCATATTATAACTGAAACTATATGTCGTTTATGAGATATTACAATTCTTTTGCTTTTAAATGAATAAATAAGAAGCACCCTCGGTCTGTAGCCCTGGGCTGGAAAGTGGTTTTGTGCAACTTATCAGATCGTGCGCTTTGAGTGGCGCCACCATCGTTGTAATCAAACTGTAGTCGTTAGTTTTAAAACATTAAACAAAAATATTTCTAATGGTTATTGAACCATGAAACTTTTTGTGTAGCGTAATTATAACCTAAATTAGCTGAAAATAACTCTAGAACCTAGAGTAAACTCTCCCTTTAAGATCTAGTCGTAATGGATCTAGGTATTTATACTTTCATTGGTTCCAATTGAAAAGCAATGTATTCTTGTGTAAATGTTTTACCATTAAAAGTTGTAGATACTTGTGCATCTATGGTAAAGGCAGTACTGTAAACTAACTGTATATTACATTATATAATATCAGGAGCGAATAATAATAGATAATCTATCCTGAACTGGTGTAAAGACAGTGTGGAAATTTCCTGTTCCTGCTCAGTCATATATATGCATAGATGTGACTGCCCCACAGTTTTTTGTATCAAGCCACACTCAATCACTCCTTTGACTCTTACTCAATTGACACATCACCTTTAACTTGACAGCTATACCCACATTGCTTGCCACATTGGTTATTCACTATGATGTGTGGTGTATATTGATTTTCATTAATGGTGCAGATACTCTTGTTAGATGGTTGGCATTTTTTTTCAAAGTCACTGAATACTAACCCATAGCAAGTTCGCCTTTGGATCAGTACTGGATCTGATCCAAAAAATCTTGAAATGAACCCTTAAACATGGATAATGACATTATCTATTCTACACTAGCATGTTTTATGTCATAATAAATTCCCTACACCAGATTTGAACACTTTATAAACAGCCATATAACATGCTGCAAAGCTAGTAATGGTGGTCTAGATTGCAATGCATGTGTATATATCAATATTAGCGAGGCAGCATGACATTTGCAGAATGATTTTGATACAGCCTTTGGCAACATTTTGCAAAGCATGAGGTGATAGATGCGCAGATGCTTGCGGAGATAATGCAAGTTAGCAAACACAAGTAATAACGTGTGTAAACAGGAGTTGTTTGTTTATGCTATCATTAGTGCACTTGTACTCTGTCTCTGAAAACCTCATTACTGAACATACATTGACAGGGGCACGTGATATTAACCATTCACTGTCCCACTGCCCTGACCACTGTGGATAAATTTTCTGGTCAGCTAAAAGGGTGTCCTGGTCTCACGTATGCAGGCTCAGTTGCTTTCAGGAATTGCTAATCAATGTGGATCATTTGACAAGTATAAGCACTGCAAGGCCATCGTGCAGATAGGACCTCAAAGTGGGTCACAGTTTGGGGACATTCAGTGCATAGGTCATAGTTTACAAATAAACAAGTGCAAAAGTCGCATGACAGAGGACAGTATTGTAATGAATTAGTCATAAAGTACATGAATCACACATGTTGTGTTTGCATATATGCACTAAGGCCAAACAAAATGAAAGTGGCAATGACACTGTAGCTCACCACAAAAAAGGACACAAATGAGTGAGTGAGAAGAAGTCAGTTTTAATTGAGCAACCATCGACGTACATTATAGAAACGAAGAGTATATATATATGGGAGAACTCCCATTATATATACTCTTGATAATTATGTGTAATTTTTTATGTGAAAATAATAAATAATATATATAAATTATAAATAATTTATAAACCAAAATGAATCACAATTTGTGACGGTAGATGGCGCTATACCCGCTTTGATGTTTCTTAGCATAAATCATTATATCATAATAATAATATAATAATAATAGTATAAATCATAATATGTTCATAGCAGGAATTTTGCATTAAAGATATTGTCAATGAAATCGTGTAAAACGAACCAGACGAGTGTGACACCACAGACTGTTTGTTATCTGTGTGTCTATATAATTGCCAAAACCTACCTAATTTGCATGATTTTTTTTTAAATATCAAAACCCCTAGCCCTTATTCATTCAAATACCAAAAATGAGCAAAATCCGTTGAACCTGAACTGACTAATGGCAATTCCCATTTTTGCCAAAAAATTGCCGTGGCTCGAAAGTACGTCGACTGGCGTGCTCCAAAATAGGACGTTTAATATGGGAGCATAGCAGTAACAACTATACCCAATTTCAAACATGTGGGTCAAACTGTTTCTGAGTTATCGTTGAACGTAGCCAAATGTTGACGGACGGACGTATGACGGACGACGACCCATGGCAATAGCTCAGCTTGACGATGTCAAGGTGAGCTAAAAAATAGGTGTGAATTTCCGGTCGACCGACCGTCCCTAGATTATTAGGGCCGACCCTAAACTTTCCCCCCAAATTTTTTTAATTTGAAATCTGACAGACAAAACTTGAGATTTTTTACTACAAGCACGTTCTGGACTTGCTTACTAACTTATCCCTACCTATACACCACTTTATAGCATGCATCAGAGGGATATTAGGAACCGAAGAATTAAAAAAATGAAAAAACATTAAAAAAATCCTTACCTACCTACCCTACTTTTGTTTTCGATGCAATAGGAAACACACCTATTTTTTTGTTTGGCCTAATATAAAACAATTATTGAGTAACAGCATTCACTGATAATGTACTTCTATAAACAGGACCCTAAGCTAATAATAATATCAACGTCAAACTGCCCAAGTGTACATGTGGCATTCACCACGTGGATACATACGTTCACAGACCTATCTCGAGACAATTTGGTGGTTCTGCAAGCCTGCCTAAATAGGGCAATAACAACAAAGTATTGTTGCTGTTACCATTGGCCATGACAATCTGTGTGCAAGATTTTTTACCTTCTGGAAACTAGTTTCACTTCGTCTGCACCGGTTGAACGTACACGTATGCAGTTAGCTGTGGATTTCGTGTAGCAATGTGAAAAGTGAATAAGAGATTCTGAGAGAAAGAAGTGTGCGTGTATAGTATGCGATCGTTGTCGGAATTTGAAGAGACACTGCACCTATATGATATCAGGAGTTAATGAGACAAAAAACGAGTTTGTCTCATTAACTCCTGATAATATTCATGACGAAGCAATCGTCCCCTGTGTTCACGCAATAGCCACCAAAACGTGGTACGAACTTCTAGTGTCCACTTATTATGACCTCAAAATATTTTCGGAAGTCGGAAGTAGTGCAGATACAGTAAGCTCGTGCTACTAGCGTAGTCTCATGCACTGCTGCCACGTCATGCACACCCCATGTGACATGGTTGTGTAGTATAGAGTATGATATCCCTATTAGGATTCGCGCAAATTTCATTGGAGATATTTTCCCTGCAACATTCGAGACCTAGCCTTGAAGGTGCGGTGGTATTTCCACCTGTGACCGTGTTTTGAGTAAATCAAGTACACAAGCCGGACGCACAGTTTGATTGTACTGGGTTGCATGCGCGTGTAGCAAGATCGGTGGACGTTGGAAATTATGTCGTTGAGTCGCCATGCACGCGATTGTCATATAAGCATGATTGCTATAGCTTGCGACTAATTGTTGTTGATTGATCACTTCACCCGCAGATTAGAGATTAGAAAGCCAGCAGATTACAAGGCTCGTGTGTTTCTACGAAGCTGGGTGTTCTGTAATAACCCCGCGCCTATGTAAAGTACGCGCCGCATGAACCTAACAAATAGACATAAGCGTCGACCCGTGGGGGAAAGGGCGTACGGCTACACGCGCATGTATGCCGGCGACAACGGAGGGTTAACGTTGACTCTATCGTGGTAGATTGTGCTTACTGAGCGCATAGCCAGCCCTGTGCTACTGTTGAGTGCGTCTCCTGGACAAGGTGGGTGTAATACATGTGAACAGCACCAGCATCACAGCGTACCCTGAACCCCGGACGCCACGTGTCGGCTGGTGACAGCTGTTATGAGAGACTAGCAAGAGAGCTATATTCCGGATGGAAATTAGAACTGCTGCTGCTGCTGCTGCTGTGATCAGAAAGGCGTGACGTGTATGTACAGTCTCGTGGCAGACGCTAATGCTTCTAGATGACGCTCGTCTGTCGAAAGCTGGTGTTGTGAAAAGCTTGTCGATGAAGCCTGGGCATGTGAAAACATCTGACATTTGATCTGAGCGAGCGTGCACACGCGGCTGAGCACCTATGTAGGTGCACCTTGCACGGCAGCAGCGGAGACTGTTTGTTAATTCGAGTTTTTCGTGCTGGTCGTATTTGTCGACTAGAAATCTCTCTATATATAAAGTGATTATTGAGCAGTTTGTCGAACGCTTACGATTTCGTAGCTGTCTGTGTGTGTAATACTAATAGGCAGGCGTAAGCGGCAAGTATATATGTACATACAGTTTGTGCGTAAATAGCCAGTGTGTTTTGACCCCGTGTGTGTGTAGACGTACGTGTAGTGGTGCGGCAGGATCGAGTGTGTATATGTGAGTCATTGCTTGTATGACTGTGCCACGTCTCACGATTTGCGAATTTTCACTGAAACAGCCTGCATGTCTGTCTGCACATGCAGACCTACATGTGCTCACGACTGTAACTGTAAGTGAGCTGGCAAGAGCGCGACATGCAGCTTGTTACAGTTGTTTGTGTTGATTGTCGTGCGTGTTAGTATCACACGTTGTCAAGCCATAGCTGTTACACTGTGTGCTACCTGAGGGCAATTGTGTAAAGACTGGTTTCAGTGAACTAGAAGCCTCTGTCAACCAATTTCAAGTTTTTAACCTCATTTCATTGTGTGCTTTGCGTTCTCTGGTAATAGCAACGAACTGAAAAATAACAGCAATGTATTACTGAACAATTGAAACAAATATAAGTGGGTGGCAGAAAATTGTCTACTCTTTTTGTGACATAAGTACGTGTTTATGTTCATGAATGTAAGGTAAACGCATCTACATGTACATGCATTGGCTTCACTACGTCTTCATGTACAGTGTGATCAATTATCATAACATACATTGTACAGGAAAAATGCTTGTGATTGACATCTCTGTGTGATGTGAACTTCATTGTAGCATCGTGTAGACCCGCGACGAGAAGGTCATGTTTTGTAACTCAGTTTTATTCAATAGTGCCGATAAACCAGAGTTATACACGCAAGAATCTCGTTCTTTGAGGCCGAACATACACGACTTATGGTAGCATACCTGCACTGTATGCTTGTAAACGACACAGCGTGGCTAGTGCTGACTTGTGGAATATAGAGAGAGAATACGAAGGGATAGTGAACGCACAGTAGCTATCCATCGCTGGCTGGCTATATCAGGAGTGACTGGTGTGAGAGGAAGACAGTGAATACGCAGAGACAGTAAACCCACAGCTGCCTTTCCCCTTCTGCATCGCTCGCGGGTGGTGGCAGGTATGGCAGAGGAGCCAGCCCCCGTGTGCGGGGCACCAGCGGCGGCGGCGGCAGCGGCACAGCCGACAGTGTCGCGCTACACGCGTCTGCTCGACCGGCCGCACGGCGTCGGTAGATACGATGTCAGCCGGAGCGCAGACGACAATAGCTTCGACGAACTGGTCGCTCAGATAGAGAAAGCGATCGAACACGATGTTTACCCCATTCTCATCCGACAAGGCTCCAGCGGCAGCTATATATGCAATAACATGGATGGAGTAAGTAGCCGTGGGCGGTAGATCGCGCAAGACGAAGAACTCTGTCTGATTTTAACGTTGATGTGGTGAAAATGGGGAGAGGGGTACTCTTGCTACATATATGCAAGAGCACAGACGATAGACGATAGTTGTATGTCGCTTAGGTAGTGACGTATGACATGGTACGTCGTGTGAGATGAAGAGATTTCTATATATTGATATGTTGCTGTGACCACAAATTTATTATAAAGAATGATGAAGATTTATTCTGCATGTAAATACAGGGATAACCTAAGTAGTAATGGGAGAACTCTGTGCATAGTGCTAGCGATACTAGGAGTAATATACTCTTGTAAGTGTGCTACTTGTCTATAGATGTAAGGACGTAGGGAAATGTGTTAGAAAATACAGAGACTGATGTGTCTTAATTATTGCTGGTGATACAAACTGGGAATCATCTGTTGTTCCATTCATACCAGGAATCATTCCTGGCCTAGCTCTTCTGTATTGTTGGTTTGTGGATGGCTTCTGGGTGTGTACATGGTTGAGGTAGGATTGATGGTTGGGCTGAGGTTGAAGGGATTAATGGATGGTAGGGTGGGGACAACAGTACTGGCTGGTGGTGGGGGGCTGCAATCAAGGTGGTTGTATGGTTTGGAATCTGCATGGTAATGTAAATTCCTGGTGTTTCTTGGCAGTTAGCATTATAGTGGAGTGTAGTTGTTCATAAAATTACTAAAAATTCAATTAATAACATAAAATTCATAAATTTTTAGACTTTATTACTTTGATAAAAACTTGCTCTATGTACTCATTGAATATGAAGTGCATAACACTTACATCTTCCATGATGTAAGAGACATGTGTATGTGTAGACTTTGCACTTGTACTTGTCAACTAACTATCGGGCAAAGTAACATCTGCCTGCTAGTGTAAATGCTCAAATGCACTGTTACCGTTTTTCAGAAAGCAATCGGCGTTTTTAAGCCGAAAAACGAGGAGCCATATGGACAGCTGAACCCTAAGTGGACAAAATGGATGCAGAAACTTTGTTGCCCATGCTGTTTTGGCAGGTACATATTTCTGCAGGGATGTGATACTGATACTCCCCTCGTTGTTGGCTATAGTTTAAATTATATACCATTATTATTATATTATTTGTCATGTGTTTTTCTTTATCAGTTAAAACCTCTACTTTGCTCGTATAATTGGAAATGTAAGTGTGGTGTTACTCGGTCTCATAATATTGGCTAGCACAAGTTCTCTGGATGTACAGTTGTATTGTTACGGTTTGCGATCAGCTGTCGTTGAGTTGTTTTTAATTCAATAAGCAATAACGGCAGGACAAAGGGGTAACCAATACATGCTTTTCATTAGCAAACTTATATTAAGTACTTTGTCCCGTTGTTAATTATAAAATATTACTTACAACTTCATGCAATTTCATTCAATGTGGACATTATTCTTCTATTCTAAATCTTTATCCAACATATGGATTCCAAATAACTAATTTAAAGACTGTCTCACGAGATTGCCCTTATATCAGAACGATCAAAAGGCTATTTTTGCAGGATATTCCAGCCTGTAAACTGTATTTCAGGGGATGCCTGGTGCTTAATCAGGGGTATCTATCAGAGGCTGGAGCAAGCTTGGTGGATCAGAAACTGCAGCTTAATGTTGCACCAAAAACCAAGGTAAACATAATGAGGCTTAGTTCGTATACTAGCAACATTGTGCAGGGCCAGTGGGGGAGAACAGTGCCATGCATTGACAGCGTGATTCTGGTTAAAAATACATTTAATAAATAAATATATAAATGAAGCATACAAACACAGGATGTTTCTAATATTAGCGAACTAGCCCCAATTTGGTGTCATCATCAAAAGCATAGTAACTGCAATTCTAGGTGGACCTGTACAACATCAAGGCATTCTAGCATGTGCATTGTACTTTGAAAAATTCCAGGTAGTGAAACTAGTGAGTGAGACGTTTAACTACTCTGCGATGGACCGCGCAAAGTCAAAGACCAAACGCAATCTGTCAGAGCGATTTCCAGAGATTGGCCGAAAATTCCACCGGATAGGGCTTCCACCAAAGGTGTGAATCATAGCTCAGCACCCAATCAGCTGGGGCCATGCTGAACTAATGCCTTGTTTTTTTGACACCCAAGTTTAAAGTTGAAGTAGAACTGATGGATTAAATATTCTAACGAATAATTTTGAATCGGATAAGTACTTGTTTATGCCTAAAAACAACAACAACATTGACAATAACAACAATAATAATAATTGTGAGGAGCGAAATGCGAATAGAAATGTCATAGTTCCTCAGTTGCCACTTAATGTATGACTTAGTAGTTACGGTACACAGATCATACACGACTTCACGTGAGTCGGCCATAATACTGATGTAAGTTGTTGTGACTTACTTATAAGTACAATAAATTGGTATGTGTTGCAGACGGGCTCATTCCAGTTGTTTGTGAGCGAATACAAGGATGCAGACTTCTGGCTGCGTCGCTTCGAACAGGAGCCATTGCCTGAATCCACCGGCAAGCAGTTCCAACAGCAGTTTGAGCGATTAGTGGTGCTGGACTACATCATACGTAATACAGGTGAAGGTCACAGTTAATCATGACCCCTAACCCTGCCAATCATGAGCCCTAATGCGGCTTATTATGACCTTTAACTTTACCGATCACGGCAGGTGTGTAGTCTGGTTGTTATTATTTTGCATTATGATATCTTGAAAACTGATAACTTGTGCCTCGTGGCAGCCGATGATTGATTTTTGAGACAACATTATTCCATAAATTTCTCTTTGTATAACGTCTAACGCTATGAACTGGAATAAACGGATAAAACACAGACTAAACACGTAAATGGTTCAAAACACATTGAGAGCCACAGACTATAACGGACCAAATTAGTAGCTAATTACAGTCCGTTGCAAAATATACAGACTGCCATGGACTGCTAACATACTATGAACATAATAATCACGGACTCTCGAGATTAGATAGTTGTTAACAGGCAGTCCATAGTTAGTCCACGGCAGTCGGTGTATTTTGCAACGGAGTGTAATTAGCTGCTAATTTGGTTTGTAATAGTCTGTGGCTCTCTGTGTGTTTTGCACCGTTTACGTGTTTAGTCCTTGTTTTATCCATTTATTCCAGTTTATAGTGTAAATCTTTCTCTCAGAGTAGAGAGGCGGAGGGTGAGAAAGAGAGAGAGAGAGAGAGAGAGAGAGAGAGAGAGAGAGAGAGAGAGAGAGAGAGAGAGAGAGAGATAGAGGAGGGAGTATATTCACACACGAT